TACGGAAAGGCTTGGCGTGCTAAGCAAATTTCTCTAGCGATTCGATGGGGTACTTGGGAGGAAGCGTACAATAGGGTGCCCTGCATCTTATGTGTAATGCATTACTACAACCCTGGCTTGAAATGGTTTGTGGACATCGGAGGGATGTTTTTTCGGGACCCATTGAGGCATGTCCTCTATCGTGTGTTCTGGTCATTCGCGTAAATGGAACATGCATTCTAGTTTTGTTGGCCAGTTGTACTTGTTGATGGCACTTTCCTGACAGGAAAGTATAGGGGCACCTTGATGATGGCTGCTGCCATTAATCCTGAGGACTAGATAGTACCCATGGCTTTTGCTTTGGCAGAGGGAGAGAACAATGAATCGTGGTCATGGTTCATACGGCTTCTACGTGTGCAAGTGCTTGGCCCAACTCGCACTATATGTTTGATCTCGGACCGTCACACAGGGCTTCTTAATGCTGCAGCTGAGCATATAGATGGGTTCCCACCTCTAGTACATAGATGGTGCATGAGACACTTTGCCGCTAATTTCTGGCGAGGTCAGCGGAAGCAGGAGGTATGTGACAAGGTAAAGGCTCTATGTTGTGTACGTATAGAGCACCAGTTCAAGGAGACAAAGAGAGAACTAGACAAGATGGTAAATAAAGCGGGAAAGGCCTGGTTAGATGCATAGATGGAACAGAAGGCTTAGTGGGCGTTAGCATATGATGAGGGGGTTTAAGGTATGGCATCATGACCACTAACTCCTCGGAGTCCTTCAACCGTGTATTCACCGGAGTTCGATCGTTGCCTGTGTCTGGAATTGTTGAGTTCTCCTTTCATAAGTGCAACGAATATTTTATGAAGAGGTGGGAGTTTGCACAGAGGAATATAGCTGAGCAGGGGCATTTTGGAAAGGCTGGAGCTGAACATTTGAAGGAGGCCGAGGAATTGGCCAAGCAGCACACCGCGGAGCCGTATAGACCCCGCCGCCATATCTTTAGTGTACGGGGCAAGGGTGGCACAAGCTTGGGCGGCGAACGTTATGGTGGACGAAACTACCGAGTTGATCTTGAAAAGGTAGAGTGCAGTTGTAACGTCCCTCAGATCATGCATGCCCCTTGCTCTCATATGATCACGGCCTGTAGGGTTCGCGGGTACAACTATGAGGATCTGCCATATATGTCACCCATGTATCTCCGTTCGAACACCGTTAGTATTTGGAAGATGAGCTTCGAGCCATACTTTGACCCTACACAGTGGCCACCGTATAATGGTTATGACTACGTGCCGCATCCGGATCTAATAAAGGTAGGGAAGGGTAGGAGGAAGAAGAAGCGACTGAAGGGGGACATGGACGCTATGAGAGGGTACGGCGAAGATATGTACGGCGGGGGAGACTTCAACGAGACCCGTGGCAGGAATCTTTGCTCCGTTTGCAAACAATCTAGTCACAAAGCTAGCCGGCATAGAAGACGAGGGCAGCAGGTGATTTCATATTGTGTTCGTATTGCATAACAAGTAGTTTAAATTTTACAATGCTACATAATGTTAATCTAAATATTGTTAATTTGAATACTCTAACCCTTTGTTTATCAATTTGTAACAGGATGGCCCCTCCCACGCCGCACTAGCTGTACCCCCTCCTTGAGGTGGAGTACGACGACCCCCTTCTTCCACTGGACGACGAGGTTTCCAAGAGGCGTTCGAGGGATCCTTACATTCCTGGGACTTAGTTCATTACGTTGAACTTATATCGAACGAATATTGTCGTCAAAAACTTGCGGCCTCATAAACCAATGAAAATGTTATGTGGCAACTTATCGTCCGTTTATTTGCTTCATGTTCGTTTCAACTTGCGCACGGTCGCGGCAGCACTTGTAGTTTTGTACAGCACCGACAACAACTCAATTGAAACTGGCCGTTGTCTGTCCGCGTCACTGCCGCGCCGTGGTCTATGGCGCGGCACTGACGCGCCGTGGTCTATGGCGCGGCACTGACGCGCCATGGACTCTGGCGTGGTAGAACCTGGGCTATGGCGCAGCCGAACCAGTAGGCTACGGCGCTGTATTCGAGATAATTTCACCCGCTTACGTTCGTTTTAGAAATTTTGAACGCATGATACAAATAGATGTGATCACTTAAGATCGATCATGGGTAATCCGAGTACATGATACATGGGTACAATACATCAGTAGTTCAAATGGAATATAAGACAACATAATGGAATTTCTACTGCATAGCTACATTGATCATTAATAAAGCATGGAACTAACAGACGGCGCAATAAAAAACCCTCAGTCAGAAACATACTGAGTAAGCAACTCGTCGTCCGAGTACCAATCCTCAACCACAACCCTGTTGCTGTGGCTAGGGTCACCTGCATTGCCCTGATCTGCCTTTCGCCTGTAGTAAGCGGCCTCCGCTTCATCTGCGGCCTCTGCGGCCTGAGTGAAGAACGCGTCGTCATCCTCCTCCGCCTACAAGCCCGCCTCTGCTAGAGCGATGAGCTCGCTCAGTCTAGCAGTGTCATCCTTAGCCTCCTCCGCCTACAAGCCTGCCTCTACTAGAGCGATGAGCTCGCTGAGTCTGACAGTGTCGTCCTCATCCTCGTCCCCCTCATCAGACAACACAATCGGTCATTCAATGGTGCGACCAGTTCGCTTTCTGTGCTCATCTAACTTCTTTTCCTCGTACTTTGCACGAGCCACCTCTGCAACATGGTCCTCGCTGCATCCAATCCCTTTATATATAAAATGCAATCAATTAGCAACACGATTATATTACATTTAAAATCAGGCAATGAAAAAAAGGCTTTCAAGCACTCACTGGCACATAATGAAACAACATGCTCGTTCATGACCTGCATCTGTACTCTTGTCTCCTCCCTTACCTCCTTCCTTGCCCTCTCTTCCTCTAATGTCATCTATCTCTCCAATCCCCATTTGACAAGCCCAACGTCGATCGGATTACAAATACCGCGCTGTCTAGCAAACTCACGCAGCTTGTCTTTGTGATGTTTAACGAAAAGGTTGACGTAATCAGGTCCATATCCACTCTTCCATGCAATTACTTGCTTCCCCTTCAGTTCATCCAAGAACTTAGCTTGACCATCATAACATTCTCACTTGCATTTCCTAGTGCTCTGTTCAAACGATAAATTATATCATATATGTGTTAGCAAAAGAAACAAATACGATTTTATGGTTACCACAAAAATAACCAACCTCATCATAGTCAATCATATGGCCGCAATAATGGCATATTCCAAGCTCCGAAGGGACTAGACTGTAGTTGGATTTAATACCACATTCGCACTTGACTGGCGGTGCTTTGTAAATTAACATTTCTTTCTTCTTTTGCTTTACCTTTGGAGGTTCTTCGGGCCATTTGTTCTTAGGACCATACAATCACTCATTGAAACGACACTTCGCCATTGAATACACCTAAATAACGTGACATTAGTACATGACACATATAGCTCAACATTTCAACACACACTTTGCACTTACTTCATGCTTGTTTGGACACACAAACTCCAACGTATTGTCAAGGCTTATCATGGCTCAGTCTCCGCAATGGCACAGAGGAGATTCCTCGAGTCGTCTAACTACGGTTAAGTGCTTCTCCTTAGCCGTCATTGGAGGGGAGGTTAGGGGGAGGTGGAACCCACTGCTCGAAGTGCTCTTGTGGATGTCGCCCTCTCCACCAATCGTCGAAAAGGAGGTACCTGGGGTCAAACTTGTCTGCACCATCGATCCACTGAAAGAAAAAGCATCTCTCATGAGCCTACACAACAAAAATTCAACAAAATATTAGTGACCTAGTAATAAAAATGAAGACGAAAAATATACGGAAACAATTACTTACATTAAAACGACTGCACGTGTAGAAGCAACGAGTCGTTGTGTCTGGATGTCTCGATTGAAACACGTCGGCCGGACGACCACAGTCACAGTTAGGGACAGAAAGTTTAGGAGGGACGGGGGCATCATTGCTAGACTCGTCGGGATACAATTCTCTAGGACGACCCCGTTTTCGCCATAACTACTCCAAAAACATGTCTTCCATCTAATAAAACGGTTTAAATTAAACATCAATCAAAACAACGCGAATTAACCTAAACATTGACAAAATCAAACTAATATTTTTCTTCAAACGGTAGCCCATAGTTCTCAAACATAATTTTTCTCCTAACCTTAACTCCCACTCATAATATTCTATCCACCGTTCAAACGAAAATAAAATGTGCGTCATTACCTTGAACGAGGACGAGGAGGGAGGGAGGCGGCCGGGGAATGGAAGGGAAGGGAGGGAGGCGGCAACGGAGGGTTGGGCGGGGGGCGGCCTGCCGGCGTTCGTGGCGCGGCGGCCGACTGGCGTGGGCGGAAGCGTGCTCCGCGGCGGCCTTGCTGCTCGGGCAGCGGGACTGGCCGCGGCGGGGTTTTTATTCGGCTCTGCCGCGCCACGGATCAGAGCGCGGCACTGCTGCGCCAAGATCGGTGGCGCGGCAGGCCCGGCCACGTCAGCGGTCAGCGATTCCAGTCGCCGCCACGTCAGCCCGTTGCCGCGCCACCATGCATGGCGCGGCACAGGCATTTGGCCACGCCAGGGCAATAGGCGCGGCCAAAAATGTTAGTTTAAAAAAAACGACGATGTTAGATTTAAAATTAATTTCCAAAAAGTGTTAAAATTAAAAAAAATCCACTTGGCTACCTTCTTTCTTTCCTTCCTTTTGCCCGCTGCTGCAAAATCTCGCGTTTTTTTAGTGCTGGGGCGCAGACCGAGAGGCCAGAGGAGTCCAATCCAGCAATCCTTATCCCCCAACGGCCACGTATCTCCCGCCTCGCCTGTCTGTCACAGGAACACGTTCCGCGCCTCCACACACCTTGCCTGGCCGCCCCCGCGGGCTCGCTCACCCGGCTCCGCCGCCCTCCCCTCACCTCATCAGCTTGTGGCCACCACGGGAGGCGACCGACAAGGCCCAGGTGAGGGCGGGCAGTCTTTGTCCGGTCGGCAATGCAGACTCTCCATGCCGCGCCCGCCTCCTTCGTCGCGCCGCCCGCTCCCCAGCTCCTTCGCACAGCGCCGCCACCAGAACCGAGAGGTGAGGTACCTCTCCGCGTCGTTTCTCTCTTTGTTCAAGTACGTCATGCTGAATCACTGACAATAACTCCGTGGTTTGGTTCCTCCAGGCACTCTCTCAGTAAACGCCGCTGGTCATGCCGTGGTGGCCACCCGGTCGCGCGCCTGGTTCCCCCCGCCGCACTGTGCCTGCCGGCGCCGTCGACGCGTGATGAGGTCTGCGTCGTCCGGTGGTAAGCTTCGAGTTCTTCGGAAACTCCCCCGCACTCGCACCACGTGTTTACAAGTGTTTACACAAACCCTACCCCTCCTAAAGACCGTGCCGGCACATCTCGAGATTGGAGCACTGTTACCTGTCTAGTTGGTGTTTCCTGTGTGACTAGCGTGTGCATTTTGCTCAAATCGTTCGGTTTAATTCATCAGCTAGTGCGACCGTGGCCTCTGAGAAGGATGTGCTCGTAGCCCTCTCCCAAATTATCGATCCTGATTTCGGCACGGACATCGTGTCCTGTGGGTTTGTCAAGGATTTGGAGATCAGTGAGGCCTTAGAAGAGGTAAATGGAAATCCTTTTAACAGATTAGGAATCTGATTAGTGTCTGAGCTGCACATTAATTGGAATTGGTGGAATATTTTTGGTTCATATATACGGCTGTATTTCAGGTCTCATTTCGTCTAGAGCTGACAACTCGGGCATGTCCAATCAAAGACGAGGCAAGTATAGCACCTGTATCTGATTTCTGAAGAACTATTCGCTAAATCTTTGTTTTGGCCTTTGGGGCTATTAAAGAAATAATGCTGAAACATCTTAACTTCATGTTATACTTATTGTTCGTGGATTGATGGATGTGAATATTTGATTCATGAATCCTCTAGTCAAAAGCAATCAACTTCATAACTAAAGTAGTAAATACTTCTTTTGACAAGATTACATTATCGTTCTGATTTCTGAGTGCAAAACTAATGCAGTAAATACTAGCCATTTTAAGTGTAAATCTCTACTGGCTTGTGCCGTACAGTTCGAACAAAAGGTGAACGAGGTTGTTGCAGCACTTCCATGGGTTAAGAAGGTAGATGTCACAATGTCTGCGCAACCTGCACAGCCAACGTATGGAGGGGAGCTTCCAGAAGGACTACAGAATATAGTCAATGCACGATCAGGTTCCTTGTGTTGCAGTTGTTGAGAACATGTGCTATTTTGATGCTGATGGAAAACGTTATTACCCATTTGGACAAGGTTCTGGAACTCAGGCAAGACATCGACTTTGAATTATTTCATAGCATAGTTTCTCTTTTATAGTTGTTGAATTGCTTTTAAAATCCAATGCCTGTTTCAGGTCGTGCAGCAGTTTGGAATACCTCACCTCTTTGATTTGCCAATAAGGCCAACTGTAAGTTCAGTAATAGCTACTTATCGTTAACTAAGGGGGTGTTTGGATTCCTACTTGATTATAGTAATTGGATAAAATAATCTGAATGTGATATAAAGATCCCAGACTATGGTTTGGATTAAAATAATCCAACCACCGGATTATTGTAATCGTTATTTATACTCCAACTAACAATGATCCACCTCTATAATCTAGGGATCCAAATTATTCAAATTACTATAATCCAATTGGGATCCAAACAAGCCCTGAATAAGAGAGCAGAAATCACAGTTTGGTAATTTTTGCAGCTTTCGGCTTCTGGAGATACTGGAATTCCTGAGGTGGTGGCTGATCCGCTAGGGGATGTGGCTAATATATTTCAAAATCTTGGAGCATGTGTTGTTCAACAATGTGCTAAAATTAGGCAACAAGGTAAATAGATGGAAAAGTAGTTCAGGGAAGGAGATGACCACAAATATTGACACAAAAAATAAAGCACCAAATAAGTTGTGCAACACATGTTCTAAATACACATATATACTACAGAATAGAGACACTTTTCTTATAAATTGTTATTTTTCTGTTTGTCAGTTTCAACAGCGGTGTCCTATGATAGATCCATTAAAGCAATCAGAGTGAAAGTGCCAGATTCAGACGAAGAGTTCTTGTTGCATCCGGCAACAGTTAGACGGAATGATCGATCTGCTCAAAGTGTGGTGTGTATATATGCTTTTCAGCATTCAGTATGTGGGATATATGTGATTCTAACATCAGTTCTTAAGGATGGCAACTCAAAAGTATCTTTATGTCATTACATTGCAAATGTTTCCACTTGACCATGGGTCACCATCATCCATGTACAAAATCTACAGATAGTCCTCTTATATTTTTTTTTATTTCTACTTAATGAATAGGCAGCACTCTTGCCATTTTTTTAAAAATATTTGTTTATATTTTTTATAAAAAAAATAGGTCACGCATGGTAAACATATTTGCTGCAGTATTGATTTTCCTTCTTTACAACTACAAAGTCTGTATCCGCAGGATGAATGGACAGGGGAGCAGAAGCTTCAGTACAGTGATATACCAGATGACATTGAGCCAGAAGAGATTAGGCCCATGGGAAACTATGTAGTTTCTATAACTTGGCCTGATGGATTTAGTCAGGTAATGCGATAAAGTTTGGATTCACTTCATCTTAAGTATTGTCATATTTGGAGTTCTTTTAAAGTTCTGGAACTCACTTAACCTGTTACCTGCCATATCCATTTCCTGAAAAATGCATACGCACCTGATGCTTCTGCAGATAGCACCTTATGACCAATTGGAAATGCTGGAGCGGTTAGTGGATGTTCCGAGTCCAACAGCGTCTGCGGTGGCCTCGTCATGATACAGTAGAGAGAATATTCAGTTAGCAAGGGGGCAAGAAGACAGACTTCTAGCTCCCAGAAAATTTATAGGCCTGCAACGAATTTTGAAGGAATTTTACAGTGTAGAATCATCATCAGTTAATTGTTTATTGAATAAAAAAAGGCAGCAGCCTTCATTCCTCTTACTATCGTCGGATAGTAGTGATCCTGAAATGATGATATAAGTGGTAGACATGTTTTTCCATTTTGTTATTTCACTGTAATCACAGGCGATATTTTATTATGAGTATAAAGAATTATGCACACCCTAGTCCATTTCGAGCTAATGAATTCATAAATTCATAATGATTGGTGATCAAAAACTTCTATATTCATGATGCGGTGCAAGTGCAACGTTGACGGTTTTCACGAAATTTGCCAATGCTTCGGGCTCCTGGCCGGTTGGGCCAAGGTGGAAATCTAGTTGACCTTTTGCTTGGGCTGCTAGGCTTGTTCCGGTCGAAAACAATATATTTGGCCCATGCTGGTCAGAAGAAGAAGAAGGTTTCCTATTTTGATTTTAAAACCACATCCAAATTTGGATATAAAGATTCCAAATTCAAATCTCAGTGAACATATAAACATCACATGATCTTGTTTATGAAAGGTTTTTAAATTTGCACAAATCTAGTTATGTCTTATGTTTGTGAGTTTTGGCAATATTCACAATGAAGCTTTAAATTTAAACAACTTCTAGAAGAAAAAAAAATGTTAAAAACTACTCGCTCCGCTTCAAATTATATCAAATATCACTTTTAGCTTTGTCCTGAATCAAATTTTTCTAATTTTGACCAACTTTGTACAAAAATATTAGCATCTGCCACACGAGCATAGCTTAACTAGTTGTGATGAAGCTTGTCCATCGAGGTTAAGTTTTCGACTTGGCACAGGTGCTCCCTACACTATTCTTTCATAGGTACCCTTATTTCAATGGTAGATTAAGTCATCAACTTCGCACACCACTGCCGATACTATTCTTTCAGCGATAGACGATGTGCTCGTCAATAACGATAACCAGTAACTTCACCAACTCAAACTCAAGATCTATCGTCTCAGTCATCCAAAGCTGTTCATATCCAAAGCTGTTCATATATAGATGAGTATGCATACATTGTTGTATGCGTCTTGTGATTTGAACTCCTACACTTTGGTCATTCACTCATTTTATACTATATTGTTTATGAATATGAACTTATGATTATAGGATAATACACTTGACTACAAATCTAATAGTACCAAGTTTTTATTACAATAGTTAAAAATTATTAGTCAGATTATTAATCAAAAATTATAAAGTTTGACTCTTGATAACTTCGAACGGCTAAAGAAATTACAATGTTGATAATGTAGTTTATAACTTGGAATGCGAGAGAAACTACAACGTTGCTAATGTAGTTTTATACTAAGATTTTATAACCGACAGAAGAATCACAATGAAAATCTCCCATTAACAAAGCCTGAACTACAACGCTTGGCCGGTAGGCCGGTAGGAAATAAAAATCGCCAATGCACTCGGTTAACAGATAGCAGCAATGACAAGGACGGTAAAAGCTGTAAAATAGAGCTCGAGCATCTCAAGGCAAGACAAATGATAGCAGCCATATGACAACATTGCATGTAGTAAAGTCTGGCAATCACATAGCATAACTAAGTACAGGCCACTCTCGAGACAGGAATTTAAGGCAATTAAGGTGATACTCCGGTACAGGGACAGTAAGTTCTTGCTACTGGAAAAAGGCCGATATAAGTTGCAGATAGCCCATAGCACCATATAACAAAGATAATTCTCGATTAGTCATATGCTCTTCGGTTCACACGTGGGGATCTTGATCGATAAGCAGGAGATCTGCAGATTATACAATTGTGTTCTCATTAGATAACAAGACAAGCCCTAATAAGTAGAAATACTAAAGGGCAGCAGTAAGCTGGAAACTGCAGCCTGAACAAAAAAGATGAAATGGTTGCAACCAAGAAAGGTTACATGGCACATCATGTATTTTCTGAGAAAAATATTCCATAGGACCAGGTTTGCTCAAAGAAACCTTAAGCTTGAATTCAGGACTAAAAAATTTAAGGACTCTGACTAAACCTTGAATTCAAGTAAACTATCAACCATGATGGAAGTAGGTAACAAAAAAGAGAAATCACACAAATATACCAAACAAAAACTAACTGCTGGCGCTAATCATTTAACTTGATGGTACAGGTACAAGATACTATCAAGATGTCCTTATTATTAAGACCGTGAAGAGGGCTCCAGAGGCCCTTCTACAGTCATATGACATGGACATCAGGACAAGCATGTATACCAATGAAAACAATCCAAGGGCATTACCTCCGATAGCGATCACGAACAGGACTTCTGTCATATGAACCATATACAGGACTTGCTGGGCGACCATAGTCTGGACTAGGACGTGACCTGTACACTGGGCTATCACCCCGCCTACCATAGCCACCACCTCTTCTTGGGCTGTCATACCTATCACTCCGTTCATCATCATCCCTAAAGGCGTACTCAACAGAAATCACCCTGTCCAAAAGCGTGCTGCAGAAGGGTTGGACACATTAGCATCATTATTACATATGTGCATTGCAAATGAGCAAGAAGAAAATTCTACCAACAGTGCAAAAGAGGCATACATCAAAGCTAATGACATGAATTTAGTGTCTACAATTAAATTAAATGGTATAGATGCACGGAACTTTACATAGAAATTGAATGTCAAGTTCTGAACAAGTATAATTACAGAAAAGTCACAAACTTTAACAATTACTACACCACCTACGCTTTCTTTTATAATTTACAGCAAAAGCAAGGAACATTTAGAAATTCTAAACCCCAAATATTGAGTCAGTCAGTGGAGGTCAAATTTGCTCATTTTATGGCCTTGCTACTGTGAAAACAGCTACATAGAAAGAAGTTTCCAGAGGAGGAGGCTTACGTAGCATGAGTAGCATCAAGAGCCTTTCTGGCTTCTTCCAGTGTTTCAAACTGGACAAAAGCAAAGTTCTTCCTTATCCGAACACTTGATAAGTTCCCAAATGGTGCGAAGTGCCTTTCAATATCACTGACTCTTGTGTTGATTGGATCAAAGTTAATGACAAACAATGTCCTAGTTGGCTTAGTATTTGCTTCTGGTTTGTTACCATCATGTCTAGCAGCTCGATCACCCTACATTAAATAATATCACACAAAAAAAAGAATCAGAATCATCAAGTGAACTGACCACAGCATGATAATGCACAAATATTAGCTAACCAAAGTCTGCTTTACCACTAGGAGTAAGGGAAGGGGGTTCAAACTAATACAAGGAATTACCCGTGACCACTCTACTGAAAGCCTGCGTCTGCCAGGGCCAAATGGATAACCATCAAGAGCCCGTATGGCATCATTGCCATCACGTTCATCCTCAAAGTAGACAAAAGCAAAGCCTACATATGTAAACATGCAAGTCAGAACGATAAAAATTTGAATAACGAATGTCCAAACAATCACAAGAATATTTTCACTTCTGTTTTACAATAACAACTCAACACATCAGTATTACCAAAACCTAAAAGAATCAGAAAAGTACTGCACCTGAATAATTCTGATGGTATGAAGAGAACTAGAGTGGTAGATTCCATTCATGATGAGAGGTAAGCATGATGTTGAACAACTTATATCCAAAGTAAGAAATAATGACCGGAGACATTGAACATGCTTTGCCATAAATAGAACTCTTGCTTATCAATATAGTACACGTAGCATGTTGTCATGTTGGTGATACTTCTAGGTCGTGGCATGGTAAGGCATGATGGTGCTGATGGCATGGCATGAATCACAACCCCGCTAAACATGCTCGAGCAGCAGTAACAGTGTGCATCAGGGCACATGAACAGATGGTTTCAAGTAAAGGAAATGATGGCCAGGTAAGTGAATGGAAGGAATTTCAGGAGTTGAGGAGCCCTGGGGGAGCTATGTTTTGCCCTGGTAGTTCCTGCGCCAGAGTAAAAATTTAAACATCTGTGCCTACTATATTACACATAAACTGCAACTGCGGTTACATTGCATGGAGCAGCACACAAGCCCAAGTCTGTGCTCTTTATGATGTACATGTAACACGAGTACAGTACAACCACAAAGTATCAGAGTATCCTACTCACTTCAATTTCAGTCCTAGTTTAAAAACATATCTGTCCAACTGCTGGACACCAAAAGATTTATTCATTGTATAACGTGTTCAAAACTTATGAAATAGATGTTACACAAGTACAGTACAACCACAAATCATCAGAGTATCCTACTCACTTCAATTTCAGTCCCAGTTTAAAAACATATCTGTCCAATTTCTGGACACCAAAAGATTTATTCGTTGTATAACGTGTTCAAAACTTTGATGAAACGAATTATTTCAACAATTACATTAACTAATCGACCAAGAATAACTGGAAACACTAGGACAGCACTATTGGATGATGAATCTCATCAAAACAATTTGCGGTACAAAACTCCTCATTCCCTCTATTTTATTTTTATATAGGGGCATCCCCCCACCCCTCTTTTCTTTCCTTGTAATCATAGAAATTCACACATCAAGATCTTACTGGCTAGGTACAAAACAAGCTCAGATCGAACCTAAACCAAAGGTGACGATAAACAGGGGGTGGGCAAAAAGAGCGAATGCAAGGGCGAGCAGACCTGACTTCATGTCGATGCGCTCGACCCTGCCGTAGCGGTAGAAGAGGCGGTCGAGCTCCGAGTGGCGGGTGTCATAGTCCAGGTTCCCCACGAAGACCGGCCTCATCTTGGCTGCCGGCGAGTCGGCGACGAACAAATTCCCCACAGAAAACCCTACGAATAAACCGAACGGGGAGCGGATCAGTCCCGGGGCAACAAAGGATCCGCGATGGGGAAATCGGAAAACCTGTATAGGAGAAGGGAGAGGAATACCTCCGCCGTCGTCGCGTCGCGCGGACGAGTGCAGACCGGAGCGAGAGACAGGCGGCTAGGGTTTCGGTGATGCGGTGCTTCTCTTCTCTCCTGCAGTTCGGCTATGAGACCAGTTGGGTCGGTGGGCTAACTTTACGAGTAATTCAGATGGGCTGGACTACTTTTACCTTTCAGCCCACATGCTTTGCAACCACCGGTGGCCCAGCTAGGCCTGCTTCAAATATGAGACATCATCCTCCCGTTTCTCGGAGACACAATAGCCTCGAGTTTCGGTAAGGCTTGTTTGCGGACGTCCGTCTACGGACCCGATCCATGTGGCGTGATTACCGAGAAGAAGAAAAAAAAAAGGTGTGCACAGTTGCAGTCAGAAAGAGACCACACCCGTCTTTTCCACGGGTCAGCTGCTTGGGAGCGTGTGCGGCCACTCGCTCGGTGTGAGATGCATACAGCGCGTGGGGTCTGTGCATGTGTGGTGTAACCAGAAAGTGCGCGGTGACCGAAGGTAGAGAATGACCAGCCTTGAGAGTTCATGAGAGGAGCATGGGCCCGTATCTGTATGCCATTTGCTGCTCCCGTGACTAGTGACCGTAGGCATCGAGCTCTACGTCGGCGCATGTGTTTCAGGTGTATGTTTCATATGTTTTTATTTTGGATGTTACATATGTTGCAGTGGCTATATATATATGTTGCAAGTGTGTTTTTAAAATGTTTCAGCTGTTTTATCTGGATATTGCATGTTTTCATCTAGATGTTGCATATGTGAAAGCTTTAGTTTGATTTTGGATAATTGATAAAACCTAGGACTAACCTTTAATCTAAGTACGTTAATTAGATAAGGTAGTCCAATCAAAATGGTGAAGCTAGATGATGGTCATGGTAAAAGTGATGGCCACAAAAAGATGGATCAAGTGCTTCACATTTGGAAAATAAGAAAGAAAAAAAATAAAAATGGACTCAAGGCAAAGATATAATGATAGAAGCTATTTTTGGTTTGCACTCAAGACACCATAGAAGGTGTGAGTGATTTAGGATCGATAGTCGTACTATAAAGAGAGAGAAAATTTGGCTAAGCGGTTATCGAGTGCCACTAGGTGACATGACTTGCATATGCATTAGGGACCTAGTGTGCTAACAATTAACCCTTGTAAAATACTTTGAAAAATGCTAACACACGAGCACATAAATTGTACACATTGTGGTTAGCATCTTGGAAGCAAAGGTGAAGAGGTTGAGGAGTTAAATTGCGAAAGGGGTCACTGCACGTGACCGGAAGCTGGTCTCGATTTGACCGGACGTGTCCGATCAGTTGACCCGAGGTGGCGCGGCCTTGGCCGAGAACGCTGAGGTGTGACCGGATGCAGGGACCTGACTCGGCGCGGTGTCAGGTCACTGCGCAACAGAGAGAGGGAAGCACGGGCGTGCGATTGGACGTTGGAGCGGCGTCGTTAATGACGTTTGCTGATGTGGGCGCAGTGTGAGGATGCAGAGACGACCGGACGCACCAACGAGTCCGGTCGCACGTGATAGGACGCGTCCAGTTGCTTGAAAACCTCTCGGTGTAGTTTCTGGAGTCGATTTGACGCGCGGTGGTCGAGCGTCCGGTCGTTCGAGGGTCACGTCCAGTCTTAACTTAAGTGCTGACGCACGAGAACTTGACCATTGGAGATCTAACGCGTGGGATTCAAAGGAGTGGCATGTGGTAGGCATCGGAGGACCGGACGCTAGGGTGTGTCTGGTCAGTGAGTCCGGTCGTGTCTGTGAGCTCCCAACGATTCTCTCTGAGTTTTGGGGCTCTATAAATAGAAGTGCTTCGTCTTGGGCTCACTCTTTTGGACATTTTTACCCACAATACATCTTTATGAGCCTAAGCAAACACCTCCCACTTATCTTCATCATTGATTCATCATCATAGTAAGATTAGGAGTGATTCCTAATATATTTGTGTGAGTGATTGCATCTAGTGGCACTTGGAGATCGTTGTGGCTGTGGATTTTTTATTACTCTTGGTGGTTGCTGCACCTAGACGGCTTGGAGCAGTGGAGGAGCATCGATATGAGTTGATGATTGTTCGTTGCCGTCTCCCGGTGATTTGTGAGGGGTCTTGTACCTTTCCCGATGGAGAGCTAAAAGATAACTCTAGTGAATTGCTCGTGTCATTGAGTTACCTCACTTGTGGGTAGGTTATTGTGGCGCCAAGTGTTGGCTAGGTGTGTGATACCTATTAACCATCAAGTGTTGGTCGACACAACGGGGACTAGCGTACTGGCAAGCACGTGAACCTCAGGAGAAAAATCGTGTGTCATCTTATAATTGGATTTCTTCCTGTGATTGATTGGCATTCATATTGATTGGTTCATCACTCTTGTCACGATGGTATAATCACTCTACTCTCTTGTATTACTTTCTTTATATTCTTGTCTAGTGTCAAGCTCTTTAGTGTAGCTAGTTGTGGGAGCTTGTTAGTTTAGTTAGTGAGACTCTTTAATTAGCTTTTGAGAGCTCACTAGCTTAGCAAGTAGCAACCTAGGCTTGTGTGTGAATTAGTGATCATAGCAACTAGAATTATTGGGTAGGTGGCTCACAACCCTAGTAGAGCTAAAGCAAAATTGCATTTTGCTGTTTAGCGTACTAACAAATTATTCTAGTGATTTTTGTAGAGTTTTTAATATGCTATTCACCCCATCTAGCCATATTAGGACCTTTCAATATATTGTAGTAGCCATACACGTATGTTGCAAATGTATATGTTCCAAATATTTCACCTATTTTAAGACGTATGTTATAAATATTTTATGAATGTTGCATATGTTGCAGTGGTTATACACATATGTTGCAAACGTATGTTTCAATTATTTCACCTTGTTTAAGTATGTTGCAACAGGTGTTGTTCCTCCACGTGCTCTGACTCGCGGGTGGAAGGTCCTAATATGGCTAGAAGGGGGTGAATAGCCTATTTAGAAATCTACAAACTGACTAGAGCAATTTGATTAGTATAACAAATAGTGAAATACAAACTTGCTCTAGCTCTACAAGGGTTGCAAGCCACCTATCCACCAATTCTAGTTGTTATGATCACTAGGCACACAATTTACTAGGTCACTACTCACTAAGAGCTCTCACAATTGCTACACTAAAGAGCTCCACTAGATGAACTTAATCCACAAAGCAAGCTCTCAATTCTAGCTACACTAAAGAGCTTGTAATAGCTAGTTTACGGAAATGTAAATGAGTAAGTGAGGTGATTATACCACTGTGTAGAGGAGTGAACCAATCACAAGATGAATACTTTATCAATCACCGGGAGAATACCAAAGGGCAAGAGACAACCAATTTTCTCTCGAGGTTCATGTGCTTGCCAACACGCTACGTCCCCGTTGTGTCGACCAACACTTGGTGGTTCAGCGGCTAAGAGGTGTTGCACAAACCTCGTCCACACAATTTGGACACCGCAAGAACCTACCCACAAGTGAGGTAACTCAATGACACGAGCAATCCACTAGAGTTACCTTTTGGCGCTCCGCCAGGGAAGGTACAAATCCCCTCACAATCACTAGAGATGGCCACGAAACAATCACCGACTCATGCCAATCCTCCTCCACTGCACCAAGCCATCTAGGTGGTGGCAACCACTCAAGAGCAACAAGTGAATCCCACAGCAAAACACAAACACCAAGTGCCTCTAGATGCAATCACTCAAGCAATGCACTTAGATTCTCTCCCAATCTCACAATGATGATGAAACAATGATGGAGATGAGTGAGAGGGCTTTGGCTAAGCTCACAAGGTTGCTATGTCAATGCAAATGGCCAAGAGAGTGAGCTTGAGCCGCCCATGGGGCTTAAATAGAAGCCCCCACGAAATAGAGCCATTGTACCCCTTCATTGGGCACAATGCGGGGTGACCGGACGCTCTAGTCAGTTCGACCGACGCTAGGACCCCAGCGTCCGGTCGCTCGATGCTTTGCCATGTGTCATTGACTTCAAATGCCGATCACCCGATCTCAACGGTCAAGTGATGACCGGACGCGTTAGTTAGAAAGTGACCGGACGCAAGATCCTAGCGTCCGGTCATTTCCAGTAAGGTTCCAAACACGAAATTTCACGATCGGATGCATCTGGTCATGCTCGACCGGACACACCCGGTGTCTGGTCACTCAACGTTTCCTCTATGCGCCTCACGTCAGTGTACGTCAGCACTGACCGGACTTAGACCATGAGCGTCCAGTCAGTTTACACGCCAACGTTTGGTCACAAGACCGAGACCGTGTGCTTACTGCTGTCACTGACCGGACTCTGAACCCAGCATCCGGTCACTGCACCACTAGCGTCCGGTCACTCTATGAACCCCTGTCTTTTCTGTATAGGGTGCCGGTGGCACCGTCGGACTGTCCGCACTCTACGGGCGGACACTCCACCGGTGAAGTTTCTAACCCTTGCTCAAATGTGCCAACCACCAAGTGTATCACCTTGTGCACATGTGTTAGCATATTTTCACAAGCATTTTCAAGGGTGTTAGCACTCCACTAGATCCTAAATGCATATGCAATGAGTTAGAGCATCTAGTGGCACTTTGATAACCGCATTTCAATACGAGTTTCACCCCTCTTAATAGTATGGCTATCTAACCTAAATGTGATCACACTCGCTAAGAGTCTTGATCACCAAAATGAAATGGCTCCTACTATATTATACCTTTGCCTTGAGCCTTTTGTTTTTCACTTTCTTCTTTTCAAGTTCAAGCATTTGATCATCACCATGCCGTCATCATCGTCATGATCTTCGCCATTGCTTCATTACTTGGAGTAGTGCTACCTATCTCATAATCACTTTGATAAACTAGGTTAGCACTTAGGGT